TTTGTCATAGGACTTTATATTTGAAAACTAGTAGTTAGTTGAACTAAGAATGATTCAGAAACATAAATAAGGTTTCACATTTCTTTTACACTGTATAAAATTGTCCTTTCAGTGTTTGTCATTTTTAATATGTGCAAAATAATTTTCTCTTAGAATAAATGCAAAAAAGCCAGAGTAACTGCCAGATTATATAAAAATACCAAAGAGAGCAAAGAAGTAGGACACAGTTCCAAAGAAAATAATACCCAAAAGATTTTGGGTAAAAGACTTATCTGCTGAAAGGCAAAACTACCTTTTGTTTTGTTACACATTCATTCAGTAATGTCTTTGAAAATGTTACTAATAACTAGCCTTAGTGCTCATTTCCAAATGATTGTAAAGAAAATACATTAAAAAACAAATACATCCCACCTGAGTTGGCTGCATGAAGGTGTGGGTGAGAGGCCAGAAAAGACCTGGCTTATTGTATAATGTGACCATGTATCTGCAGTTGTCTTCCCTTGTGTGGCTCCTGTTTGGGGGCTATTTATTAGTGGCGTATTGATTCAGGGAAGGCCAGGCAGTAGCACCCTCTCTCCTTTCTAAAGATATACTAGTAGAATTAATTTTACAGTCTCTCCATGGTTTTATGCAGCTCTGTTCAGAGTAACTTCACAAGAGGGAGGGAAGGCTTAGTACACATTCTACTGAATGGAGGCTCTACTCTGCCAGACAAATGAGAGGTGAAATGATGGAATACCTTTCTGACTTACTACTCCCCTTTTAGTAAAGAGAAAAAAAGCATTTTAGCACAGAATCAGATACATCTAAAATTTAAAACAATTTTTTATATAGACTCCATATAAATATAATCTTTCCAGGTTCAAATATGTGATATATCAATTAGAAAAATACCCCCAAATAAGGAAAAGCATGTAAGTCCTATTAGAGGAATTCATATACTGAGTAAAAATAAATAGCTTTTTTATTAGATTTAAAAAAACAGTTAATGATATTTTCCATAGAAGTGAACTCATTGAAATTTATCTTTATAAATTACAGTTATTACGTTTTTATGTGATAATTCTCATTGTGGAGATCGCACTTACATTTAACCAAAAGGTAGAAAGTTTACTTGTAGTCTGAACTAATAAATAAAGACTTATTTCTACCTCCAAATATGAATTGTACATTTTAAAAATACTTTATTTATACTGAAGTAATGCTATACAGAAATAATTTTCTTCATAGTCCCTATGATCAATTTATGGACAAGTATGTTAAAATATATGTATATATTACTACACTCACAGATATTAACTCAGATGAGATGAAATGAAACACACTCTGAATGAAATTTAAAAACAGCATTTCTTAGAACTGAGGAAAAATCAAGTATTAACTAAATCCTTTGATGGCTCATTATGGTCTATGAAATCTGAAGTGACATCATAAAGCAAATACTAAAGAGAATGAATGAGTTACAAATGATTTGCAGATAATAGGTACATATAAGTAGTTCAAATTTTTTTACTTAATTTTTAAATTCAGGATATTATGGGGGTACAAACATTTTGGTTACATGTAATGCATGGGTGAGGCAAATGCATTTCATGTAACCAAAATGTTTGTACCCCCATAATATCCTGAATTAAAAAAAAAAAAATCCTAGGACCAACAGCCT